AACGGCCACGACCGCAGATCTCTCTCTCTCTCTCGCACCGTCGCGTCACTATGCCACATATGCCACATATGACAGGCTTCATTCAGTGATTGAAACTGAAAGTTTTATAGTACCGACAGTGAACGCTCCGAGCGAGCTGTGCTGTAAACACGGAACTTTTCCTTGGCATGAAACGGCAAATAATCAAACTAGTGCATGAAGCTGTTGTAGCCATCTAGTCTATTTTATACATGCAAAACACAGTCGGTACAGGCGCGCGGCCCCCCGCTGCCACGGTTGTTTTTTTGTTTGTTTTTTACATTTGAATACTAATTTTCACATTTGAATAGTTGTTTTTAACAACTTTTTGAATATATATTCGAATATAGAATATTCGTTGACAGCCCTACTGCACATGGCCTTCTAGCATGTAGTAAAAACACGGCCTTCCCTTCTCTGTACTCCTCGTTCTCTTCCCTGTTCTTCTCTGTTCTGTTTCACTTCACCATCACCTCATCACCGCCATCCGTCAAGTATAAAAGTAATCCGCGGCAGTGCTCCACATCAGCATACATGGCCTGGTACGCTGCCGGGGGACGTCGGTGGGACAGATCACTGGGATGGATTGTCCAAATTTCGGGCTCGCCGCACAAAGTGGTGAGGCTGTGCTATGGCTTTTTCCATGGACATTTTTGGGGGGGAGAAATATGTAGCTTTTGGCCGAACTGCTATGAAAGTTATGCTTCCCATGTATTTTAACTTCCCATTCTAGGAAATGTGTAAAGAACAAACCCTCTTAATTCTTTCACCAAGCATTTCACTCAAGTGGCTCAGCAACACATCCTACACTTGTGATTCTGGCCGCTGCTGCTTCTAATCCTGCAGACATATGCCTCATATTAAGGCATAGTGAAGTGCTGGAAACGAGACGTCACGGCTTCAAGTTTCAAAACCTTGAATTTTGTCAGTTCAGTGAATGGAATGATTGTGACGAGGATTGAGGGGATGCTTCCTTTATCTCTCCACACAGAAACAATTTCCAGACTGTAACCACCAGAATGTGAGCACGTTCAATATTGCCGTTAAAGTTTTCCACTACATAGAAGTCTTATCGGCGCAGCTTTTGCTTCGGCCCGCTCCCTCTTATCGCGCACGCTGTACAAATGAAAACACGGCGCCTCCATCGTGAAGCGGCACAGCGGTGAACGCCGTAACACAGATAGCATACTTTCCCAGGTGCGCGGGGGGGGGGGGTCTTGACTCCTCTGTGGTCCAAAGTGAGAACCACTCAATGACAACAAGCAGTATTTTAAGTTCCATATTTGGGCACCATTTATGTATATTTGAAACTATCCTGAACCCTCGTCTTTTAAATCGTCTGTACGATGTTAATGAAAGTCCATGAACTCCTGTGAAAAATGGCGTCACATGATCATTTACGTGCAAGGCTTATCACTCTGGGGTGTTTTGAGACCACACTACTGTTGCACAGAAGCTGGAGGACTCTACGTCAAGTGGTCTACATACATAACACTAATAACCAGTTAAAGCAAGAGTAGTCGTATTAGAATCGAGTCATTATGTATTTGATGAACGATCTTCCGATGGGGGAAAAATCCATAACTTTTTACTCTGTAGTGGCTGCGTGGGTTCCTCATCCGCCGCTCCAGAAATCAATCCATGGTCAGAGTAGCGGCGTCACTGACGAACCTGCGGAGCTTTTGGTGCGTCGGCGGACATTTAAATCAATATGACGTGCTTTGTAAAGTGCGTCGGCGCTACAAGGAATAAGATCTGCCCTCCGTTGCAAGTTCACGGCTTGTTCAGGACGCAGTAACGATGCCCACAGAGCATGCTCTGTTCTTGGTGTGTTGCTGTCCTTTTCCAACATCACAAGACACACACACAGACACTTACACAGAGGTGTTATCAGGGCCAGCTCACAGGATCATGTGGTGCAGCAGTCATACGGTGTGAGCTGTGATTAGACAGGATGAGAGAGGTGAGCTTTGCTGCTCCGAGCGTCACCCCAGAACCAGAAGAGGGCTGAGACTCAAGGTGTGACGGACACAGAAAGTGATACAGTAATCGCACGATTGCTGGAAGGGGAATCTGCACGGCAACGCCATAATTATAAGATACGTTATTCTTGTTATGCCGCTTTTCGAAGGACGGCTTCACTTTGCCTCAGATTCCCTCAGATGACACCACAAACCATCACACATCGGGGGCTGAGCCACATGGCAGCATCATTTCAAACCGCCTCACTTAGAATGACAAAAGGCGTGTCCAGCTTCACACTAACTTCTAAAATGAGGCAGCAGTGGGTTTTTTGCTGCTAATCATCTTAACCGTGCAGGCGTATTCTTTGAGAGCCGCATCGTGCCATCTGGATCTCCTCAGGCGGGCACCTCAGAAAAGCAGCCTAAATCATGATAGGCTCCCGGAGGAGGCAGGCAGAGGGCCAACAGCCAACCGCAAAATTGATGTTCATGTTCACAATGTAGCTATCGGCAGTAAGACGGCCATCGGTATCCTCCCGCCCCGGAGGTGTGTGCGGCTGGTCCAGGTGCAAGTTGGTTCAGAATGAACCACGGGTGGCAGCTTTGATTGACTAAACTTGGATTTGATTTTACGAAAAGGAACATATCTGTGCAGTAAGTGTAGCTGCTATAACGCTACAGAAGACGTTGTGATTGATTCAAAGGCTCGTAAGCAGTTAATAGCAAGTAACTGGTTTCTGTTATTGTTTAGATTACTGCCATAGAATACCAGTATCGCCACAAGGTGCCATAAAACATCCTTCTCAACATTGCATGGACATTATTGAACCTTCCTTAAAAAATGGGTGTGGAACGTAAATAAATGTATTGTACAAAGGTAACATAGGAATGGGCAGTAAGGACAAAGCTTCAATCATGTTAACTGTTATTTTCCATTTGCGATAATGCAATAAGACGGGCCCTGGAACCTCGGTGCACAGCTCCCCGCCACCAACCGGAGGGAGCCGTGGGAAGGGAGCCCGCTTTCGCCTTTAGCATTGTCTTCCGTCGTTCCTGAGGTGTGCGCTTGTGCCTTTTCTGCATAGTGGGGCTGAACCCCCCCCCCCCACGAACCCCGAACAATGTGCAGCCGCCACCCGCTACTTCATTCCTGGTCCCGCTTCCTGGAACGCAGGAAGTTGGGCGCTTCGGCCTTTTCCAGGTTGGAGAAGAACCGGGGAGGGGTGGAACCCACACCAAGGGTCACCGAGTGTGGCCAGCCAGCTTCCTGTGTTTAAAGATGTGACATCACCAGTTAAGAGGAAACTAAAAAAACGCTGTAGTCTGTGAATGTGAAAACATTAAACTGTTTTGTCTTACAAGAGAAAAGAGGTCAGCGTTGAAGTTATTCGTTACCGTACTTATTCAATGTGTTTGTGTGTGTGTGTGTGTGTGTGCGCGTGCAGCATTATTAATCCACCTTCAGATCTCCTTCAATGCTCTTTGCTTCTTCCCACACACCATCTTTTATTCAACAGCGCGTGTCACTTCCTTCTTGCAGTGTGCGTGTGCGCATGCATGTGTGTGTGTGTGTGTGTGTTCATCCTTTGAGGCTCCTCAAGTGGCTTCGGGAACACAAAACGACACTAGTTCAAAGGGGCTCCGACACAATGGCGTTGGCTCACACGTGTAACCTGCAGTGGTTACCTCACTTCATTTTCAGCTCCTGCGTCCTTTTCGCCGTCATTATCAGCTCGTCACCCTTTTTCCGTCCCTCCACTTCGCTCGCTCAGTCTCTATTTCTTTAAGTCTGTCTGGGTGTTGGTCTCTTCCTCCTGACCGTTCCTGTTTCAATGACATCATCCAAGAAACCAGGAAGCTGCTATTTGAGCAACCACCCCACACAGTGTATGTGTGTGTGTGTGTGTGTGTAATTTAGTTTCCTTATTTGTGAGACTTTGTTAGAATTAATATTTTGGATAATGATTAACTTAGACCGGTACATGATAATGATGTTCACTGTATGCCAACAAATGTGTCATCTGAGGTTGAGCAGGATATTAAATGAAAACAAGCGACTGCGTCGATCTAATCAGCTGTTCAAACTATAGACAAATGTATTGTTTGTAATTAAACAATAAAAAATATGGTACGGTTTACTTTAGTAAAAGAAGTAGAACACTTTTTCTTTACCGTATTTATAAATGTAATTGGTTTCCATAGAAGCTACCTGCCACGTAGCTGTGCATCTGAAATGTATAAAGAAAAAGGTTTCAGGACATTTAATAATACAAGAAAATTGACCATATAATTGATTGCAGGATGAACAGATTTATGTGTGTTAAGTGTGTACAGTGTGTTAAGAAGCAGTTGACCTTTCATTGAAGGATTATCACTTCAGAGAGTGACTCAGTTACTATCGATCATCGGAATATTCTGAAGAAACTAAGTGTAGTGACTTTCAATAACACAGAAGTCCTTAATGTGGTTGTCCTCTTTTGTTATTTGGACATATTGTCATTCTGCTTGCTGCCTTTTCTGGTGATTTATTGCGCCTTGTATTGCAGCTCACTGTCTAATCTGCTGGTAGTTGTAGTGCGTGGGGTGCGCAGACACCGATCTAAAACTAATCCATACCTTCCTGGTGGGTTTTGCTGAGCAAAAATGGATTCACAAACCGCCGTTTAGACGGAGGCGATGCAGTAAACTGTCTGATTGTTTTGCCATTCAGTTTGGGTTATTGCAGGAGAGGTTGTTAACCCCTTGAAGCTAGTCCCACACTCACAACCACCACAAAGGCTGTTGCCTGTTGTTTTAGTAAACACACCACGGCCCTGCTGACATGCCGAGGATCCTGTGAAATATTATTTTGTTTAAAGAAGTCTCAAGAACACTGAGTTACTAAATAAACAATATAGAAATTAGTTTTGTGCATTACGTTCATCTTGGTTGTTGAACATTTTTAACATTCTTTAAATCAAATGCCAACAATATTAATATTTTATCTCCCCCGTTTGTTCATTTTTTTCTGTCTTTAAGATCTGCCCATGGAGTACAATCCATCAGACCATCCCCGGGCCAGCACCATCTTCCTCAGCAAGTCGCAGACTGACGGTGAGCGCCTTTCTTCCCTTGAATCCTTCACACTGAAGTGTAGAGCTGGAAAAATGTCAGCGGGTTGTTGGCGGGTCATTTCATTGTACGCACGTAGGACATTTAGACACACACATTTCAGATAGTTCCGTCTAACATCTCAAGGGTCTGTTTGTTTCTTTGTTTTTTCTCACATTGCCTCGCTACGCTACATCACCCTCCTCCCTCAGTCTTCCTCGGGGCCGCTTTGACCGTTCATCTTGACTTGTTTTTATTAGTTGCCGTTGATCCTCAATAGCCGAGCCATTCAAAGAGCGGTGTCGCCACATAAGCAGCAGATTGCACATTAAGCCGGAACGAACGAATCATTTCAAAAGGTATCTTTAGCAACTCAAAGCCAAACAATGGCCGCCCGTTTTGTGGCGCTTGGTTGTCGCAGGGATTTCAGATGTGGAGCCGTACAAAAGTACCACGGATCAACTACCCTTTTATCCAGCATAAAGGCTTCAGGCAGGAAACTCTATAGCAGCTGCTTCAGCGTCGAAACGAGGCCCACTGCAGCGTTTTGATCATCTCTCACAGGCAGGTAGACTCATCCTGGAGCAGCCTGCGCCCCTCGGACTGACAGAAACTCATCTTAATCTATTTGAATGTGATACAATTCGTTGTACCCAGGAGGCTGAGGTATTAATCTTCTATCGGCCTCCTCAAGTCCATGTGCGAACGTCTGCTGGCTGGTTTTCACAACAAACTGTACATGAATATGAATGCCAATGCAGGACACAGACACAATTTGAGCTTTGTGTTTTTTCAGTTCCTCTGCCCAACAAGAGAGGTAAGCATGTGTGTGTCTGGTCCCTGTAGGTGTGCAGCACGATGCTCACTGTGGGCTTTTTGGGCTTCACTTTTCATGTGCTGAAGCTTTATTGTATTCTCGTACTTCTGTCTGGCTTTTGTGTCAGCGGGTGATGCGAGTCCACTGCCGACATCATGTGACGTGTGTGTGTTTGTGCACATGTGTATGTCCGTCCACTCTGCAAAAAAAAAAAGCCAACCGGTCGGTTTCCCCCACCAGCGGAGCTTGAGTCGCCTCTTCCATAGACGAATGAATTCCACCGGAAAAGTTCTGTGATCTGACACGAGCACCAATGCGCATGCGTTTCCAAGACTTTTCACTGTGTCAGTGTTGATGTGTAGCAAAATAAAGAAGGAAAAGGTTATTTGATTTTCTTCCTTCTTAATTCAGAAATCCATATTGACACCACCACTGGAGGGAAGAGTTTCCTTCACTAAACACAAAATTAATTATATATAACTGGCAACCTAATTATGACGCAAGCGTCACGGCTGCCCAAAGTACAAACAGCACTTGTGTATTAGTGTGTGTGTGTGTGTCTGGAAGAGCCACACAGCCGTAGGAGCGCGCATGTTACTCAGTGACCGTGCACTAACAAAGGGGAGCTCTGAAGAATGAACAGTTCACAGTGGCCGTTAGGCAGAATTAGCATGCGTAAGGTGAGAGAAATGAAAGACGTGGTCAATATGGCTCATTTCATTTGGACTCACACAGGCTAAAAGGATAAATGGATTAGCTCAAACCCACTCCTGCATAATACTTTTTTTTCAATATTGCAGGAGATAAAAACGCTATTTACAGGCTCATTTTTCAATATTGAAAAAATGCTGCTTGCTAGAGCTGCTGTGCTTTGATTGATGTAGTGTAGCATAATTAGTAGAGAGAAAAAAAAACTCAAGCTTTAGCGAGAGGGAGTCTATGAACTCTGGAGGAATGCTGCTTCCTGTCTGTGGGGGTAGAGTACTACACTCCTACTGAGCGTGTGTGTGTGTGTGTGTGTGTGTGTGTGTGTGTGTGTGTGTGTGTGTGTGTGTGTGTGTGTGTGTGTGTGTGTGTGTGTGTGTGTGTGTGTGTGTGTGTGTGTGTGTGTGTTGTGGTGTGTGTGTGTGTGTGTGTGTGTTGCTGCCGCCTGACATCTGTTTTCTCATCTTTCCGTTTCAGTTCGGGAAAAACGGAAGAGCCTTTATATCAACCATGTGAGTAAGAGAATGGACACTGTATAATGTATGATGCATAAAACAAGCAAACTCACACCATGAAGGAGATGGTGTCATTCTCTCTGTTATTTCTGAGTGCAAATACAATAGTGGATGTTAGAATGGTGCAAATGGTGATTTTATTGTCTTGTATTTCTTGCAAGTTCACACACATTTCGGAGAACAAGGTAAAGTCCTTAAAATGACCCTTTAAAATAACCCAACCCTTTAATCCTCGCTCATCCCTCTTCAAACCACAGACGGTCCACTTTTAGTCCTAGTCCGGTGTTTGTGTGTGTGTGTGTGTGTGTGTGTGTGTTATGAGCTGATGCAGTTCCATGTCATTATTTAGATGTAGTAGCAACAACTTCACCTCTTACGATGTAGTTCATCTTTTTCCATCACTCCTTCAGAAGCACATGAGCGTATTGAAAGAGAGTTCATCACTGGATGCGATGTTTGTCTTATGCACTCCACTATAAATGGCATTCCCGCATGCAACCACGCGTTCCGCTGACGGACGGGGTTAGTTTGTGGGTTTACAGAGGCCCGCTTTCATGTCTGTTGGCGGGCCTCTTGGCTCGTCAGAGTAGGACACAAAGAGATTGACGGCCATGTATTTCTGTGTGTGTGTGTGTGTGTGAACTCCAGCATCATCCAGGCCCGGCGAGACGAAAGTACAGCTCCTGCTCCACCATATTCCTTGACGACAGCACCGTCAGTCAGCCCAACCTCAAGTACACCATCAAATGGTAACTTTTTGTGCGAAACAGGGAAGCTCATGTTCAATCTGTCTGCTGTCATGCTTTTAGTTTGGAATGATTTGCATTTTCATGATTTATTTTGTCTTTACAGCGTAGCCCTTGCAATATACTACCACATAAAGAACAGGTATGATCAATGTTTTCATCCTTTTATTGGTCCTTTCATTCATTTCTCTCAGTCCGAAGTCATTTTAATATTCTTGCATAACTATCAGCACCACGGGTTAGCAAACAAAGGTAAAACCTTGACGGATATTATAAAATACGCCACTCAGAGAAACTACCTGATGGCTGGATCCAAATGAGGCCCGAGTGGGCTGTGCTTCCCCCTGGAATAAACCGCGGTCTCATAGAATGGTGGAGAGACGTCCTTCTCCTCGTCTCCATAGCGATTTGTGTTTTTAAAGTGCAGATAAATGCTCAGAAATTGCGTATTGAACAGGTGATGTGTCAGGGTTGAAATAAAATGAGTCTCATGCCATCTTTTTTTTTTTTTTCGTCCTTTATCTGTCGGTCATTCCAGGGATGTCGATGGGAGAATGTTAGTGGACATTTTCGATGAGAAGCTGCACCCACTCACGGTGAGGTCTTAACCCAGGATGCGTTTCCATTCTGTGAATACCGGCGCGCTGTCAGGACTCATCAGCAGGACAAACCACAGCAGCTTGAGCTTCCATTCCGGTAAACAATCTTATTCGGAGTGAATCTTTCATTGTCATTCGTTATCTTCTGCTGTAGAAGTCTGAACTTCCTCCTGATTACGAAAAACACGACCCCGAGCAGAAGCAGATCTACCGCTTCGTCAGGACGCTGTTCAGCGCCGCACAGCTCACCGCCGAGTGCGCCATTGTCACCTTGGTGAGTGTGTGTGTGTGTGAGAGTATGTTTCAGTGCCGACAACAGGAGGGAGTGTTGCTTCCTGATTTTCTTTTCACCCTCCATAGCCTCATGTGCAGTCCTCTATCTTGTACCTTCCTTAGGCACTTTTGTCCTTAGGCGACCTCATTCGTTCCTCCTGAATCCTATAAAAATGCTCCACATGTCCCTCCACAGATTGTTGAAAGAGAACCGACTGTCACCGGAGAGGCCGTAAGGTTTGGAAGGTCATACATGATTAGTTTGATCCGGGCAGTCTCCCTTCAGAAGGGCTTTGGTGTGAGGCAGCGTGTCTGTGCCGGTAGGTTATAATTGGTGGTTTCCTGTAAGGCAGGATCTCTCCCGACGACTAATGACATCCGGGCTGGCCACCTGCTCTAAAAGCCCGAAAACAAGGACAACTTTGCTCCTCATTCCGCTTTCGCCCTCTTTTTTTTCTGGAAAAGATGGTTCTTTTAATATTATTCATTTTGTTAGTAATAAATAGGAGAGATGTAGCTCACGGTTTGCTTCCTGACAGATGCTCAAATGTGTGTACTCTGTAGGAGTTGGTGGGGTTCAGGCAGTAATGGGAAAGCGAGCACTATGATGTGTCTTTATTCATGTATGTGTATGCCAAAAATCATAAAATAAAAATAAAACAAAGATTTTGCTGTCAAATTTGCCATACCATCAGAAATTGAATAGGGCTTCTGGCTGGTGGTTATGCATTGGCAGGGGTGAGAGGTCATTCATTTCTGTGTCACTGCTTGGAGATGCCATGTTTGTGTGTGTGTGTGTGTGTGTGATGAATTCTCCTCTCGCGCCCGTCACTTAACACATGTGTTTGCTGGTTTGTTATGTGTGTTGTAAAATTACGTTTTTTCACAGCAACATAAATAGACAGAGTGAATTATGACCTGTTTAGCTTGCTAACACTAGCTCCAGTACCCCAATACTCTTCATGCATCTTCATCACCTGGATGGTCTGTTTATTTACAAATCACCAGTATAGATGACTGAAAGTAATAGGAAATGCCTCAATAATAGTTGATGAAAATAATAAATATGTACTTCATAACTATAGACCCATTGGTAAGAGACGGGGGTAGGATGAACCAAGTGAAAACAATATCCTTTTATCTAAAACAGATGTTGTAAACCCACGTCATTTCTGTAATAAATTGCAATGTTTGATATATCACTCAGCACAATGTAATAATACCACATGGTATTAATGAAATTGTATCGTAGGGCATCTGGTGATTTCCATCCTTAATCTAAACTCATTTGAGTTGAATGTAGCTGTGCGGCTTGCTCACTGCACTGCCTCTGGATTCTATGTGTGTGGTTCCCTCTCAGTGCTGTCGCATTCATCTCCCTCAGCATGTGGCCCTTATTGCATGCAGGGTTTCTTCAATGTGTGCTGCCCCCCCTCACCCCTGCCAGAGGAGTATACAGTGTATGTGGTGTTGGTTGGCAGACTGTGGGCCATGACAGAGAGAGGTTAGCACCGCCTGCGAGCACAAAGCCCAGCCCAGCATGACTGGACCAATTAGCCACCTGAGCTGTGCTACTGGGCAAGTCAAACCAGGCTGCTCTGCCTCTCTGTTCATCCTAACCCGTAGGGACCGTTTAATATCTAGTAATTAGACGGGAGAAATCATCATGTGACAGGGCCCTCTGCTTTCCAACTGTCTTTCTGTTCAGGTTTTTCAGGCACAAGAGAAAGTAGTGCATATTTGCATTTAAATGCAAAAGAAATAGGGGAAAGCTGCAAAGCGTATTTACTCATGTCAGCACACCTTTTGTAGAAAAGCAGTTTTAATATTGTGCTGTCGCTTCCATTGGCAAGCCAGACATTTCGTTGTCTCCTTGCAGCGGATCACTGCAGCTTTCATGCTTTACGCCGTCTCTAACAAAATGACGAACAGTGGAATCAGCCTCTGCATTACACACTCAATTCCCGCTTGTAAGGAACAGCTGCTCCGTGTGCTTTGTGATCTGTAAACTGTGGGAAGTACGGCTACAGGAAGATCAGAGAGACAAATGGAACTGGGGAGAGAGGCAGAGAGATGAAGTGTTTCCATCCACAGAGATGTTTTAATGAGCGAGCTCCAGAGAGGTTGGAATTCATCAGCTTCTGCCATCTTGTTGTTGTTGTTCTTTACCTGGAGGAAGAGATGGCAGGAAATACAGCGAACTAACGCACAAATGTACACTCATAGTATAGAGGCGAGTGGATAGCGCATTAATACAGAATCTGTCATGTGTTAGAAGAACGTATTCGCCATTTGGAAGACAAATTCCTCAAGGATATCAGTTATGCGTATCATTTATTTTCTTTACCAATAGAGCAGAATGTATGAACGTGTTCTGAGATTTGAACATGCGACGCGTCTCTTTGTTCAAGGTGTACCTGGAGAGGCTCCTGACCTACGCCGAGATCGACATCAGCCCCTCCAACTGGAAGCGCATTGTGCTGGGAGCCATCCTTCTGGCATCCAAAGTGTGGGACGACCAGGCGGTCTGGAACGTCGACTACTGCCAAATTCTCAAGGATATCACTGTGGAGGACATGTGAGTTGCTGCAAGAACACGCTCACAATAAATGTCGTTAAAACATGAATGCTCCTTTACGTTACGCTGTTTCTAAAGTGTTTTAATTTGAACCGGTTCTATTTACATTACATTACAGGTCATTTAGCAGACGCTTTTATCCAAAGCGACTTACATTACACTTTAAACCCATGGCTTTTTTTCACATTTTTGCCCGGGGAGCAATTAGGGGTTAGGTGTCTTGCTCAGGGACACTTCGACATGGAAGATGGGGCAGCCTGGAATCGAACCACTAACCTTGTGCTTCCCAGCACACCTTCTCTAACCCCTGCGCCACAACGACCCCACATTTCCTTTGCGTAGCATTAATAACCAAATGTGAATATGTGTTAACGAGGATTTATGGTTCTGTTGAAGGTGTGAAGATGTGTTTCATTATGTCTGAGATAAAAATGGAATCTTGCTCACAGTCAACAAGACTTTTATAGCCAACTTTTCATTTCCATCGCTTGATCTATTGAGGGCAAGCCAAAATAGATTAGCTACAGTGGATTAGTTGACTTTTTAGGTGGCTCAACCCACAACTGAAAAGTAGGCTGTCAACAAAACAGTTTATGTTGATGACAAATTAATCAATATTGGACCTTACTTACATCCTCAGCCACTGTAGCTATAGCGCCTGCCTTAAGGGTCTAGGTCGTTGTATTCATTTTGACTTTCAGTCAGTCGTGTTTGTGAGCTCCAGAGGGGCTCGAGTTACACGTATGTTGCTCTGGTAAGGTTTCAGCAAGATGACCACATGCAGGCCCGCATCACAGCGTGGACCAGTGGAACATTGCTGGTGTCTGCTTTGTTTGTTACTTCCTGCGTTGGACAACAAAGAAGCTTCTAGAGGCACGAGGAGCCACCACATCACCATCCAAAGGGTGCAGCACAATGCTGCAGACGTGAGGCCACTTCCGTGACCTCTGACCTCTGCTGCACTCACACTCCTCCGCAGCGGTGGCTGTATATTCTTGTCATGGGCTCGGATTTTTAAGAGCAGGGCGTCTGACCCACCTGTTTGAGAGGAGCCTGGCATGTGACAAATTCCTAGATTTTCTCTCAAGATACGTCTTTTTCTTTTACAATACAATACTGCTGAGCTCCGCCTCTCCAGAACAGTGAGGAGCGGAGAGACGCAAAGCGAAACGGATGAGAATAGCCGAATGAAATAGAAACAGACGCAGCGTTATCGGGCAGACTTTAGCTACAGCGGAGGCTAAATTTAGCCCGTCTGTTGCTGCATGCCTGTGAATGTGCGTGGGTAGGGAACAGAGGCGAGGAAGAAGAGATGAATCGTGCCTCTTGTGCAGGTTACAGCACAAAAGGAACCGGCCGCCAATGAAGATCAGCAAAGGAAAGTTGCAGTGAGGGCTCTGCAGCGGGGGGCGGGGGGCAACTACTGACCTCGGCGTGTTCAGGATGCCCGATCAATATTCTCTGCCAAGCCGTCACCTGTGCCCAGATATTACTGCTTTCAGTAGGAGGAAAGGCTTATGTCTGGTGGGTGCACTCGGGAGATTAACTTGGGAACATGTGAACATCGCCTCCCCCACCCTTTTGTCTCTTTGTCTCCTACTCAGTCGCTCTATACACAAAGTATTTGTATACAGCCAAATTCAACTATTTCAACGCTTAATATCTGATTACCCTCTAATCCCTCTTCTCTCTCTGTTTAAAAAAAAGGAATGAGCTGGAACGTCAGTTTCTGGAGCTGCTGCAGTTCAACATAAACGTGCCGTCCAGCGTCTACGCCAAGTATTACTTTGACCTTCGCTCCATGGCTGAGGCCAACAACCTGAGCTTCCCACTGGAGCCCCTCAGCAGGGAGAAGGCCCAGAAGCTGGAGGTAAGCAGCATGAAAACAGACAACAGTTTTTGGGAGTTGAAGGATGTCATGAATGGAAAAAATGAAAATGGTAATATCAGCCCGAGGTGGATCACGGACTGCGGTACTGTGTCTCTGTGTAATTAGCGTCACTGCCTGAGGATGCATTGACTTTACCCAGCACATATTTAGACATTTCATTGTGGGAAAAACCCAAATTTAATTAGTAACGTTAGTCATATTCTCTTTAGTCAGGCCTGCTGCAAGAGCGTGCAGGACTCTGCTGGTACCGAATGGACGGGAGCCATCTGTTCATGTTATTAATTCAGCGGTGCTTTTCCTGCTACGACAAAGTAGTGTCTGATGTTACACAGTAATGTTACTAAATGCAGACGATAAAAGACTACGATGTCCCAAACTCACAAGTGCAGCACAACTAACAACACAGCCCAGTTTGTACACGCCCACACAGTCCTGAGATCATTTCTCCACATGGAAGTTGAAATGTAAAACACCGGTGTGGGAGTATGGCTGTGCAGGGGAGACTTCTGCTTCTTTTGTGCTTCAATTTGGCATCAAAAGCCTTCATACTCAACATTCTTTTTCTATTTCATTAAAACATTGTGGGGTGCAATCAAAGTTACATACCATATTCTTATATTTTACATAAGATTTAAATATCGACTGAACGAAATAAACAAACACAATTGTGGTTTTTGGAAAAAGTAAGGAAAGAGTAAGGAAAAAAAATTTGATACATTGATCAAATCGTTCAAAGGTGAATAAATTGATACAGATTTCTCTAAATTGATCCCAAAAACGTGTTTACTCTTTACATGGACAATCTGATACATTTCAAACACAATTGTGGTTTTTGGAAAAAGTAAGGGAGTAAGGAAAAAAAATTTGATACATTGATCAAATCGTTCAAAGGTGAATAAATTGATACAGATTTCTCTGGATTGATCCCAAAAACGTGTTTACTCTTTACATGGACAATCTGATACATTTCAGTCTAGATTGTCTAGTAGCTGTTAGCATGCTTCATGTAACAAAAAGCCATTTGTCGTCTCAGAAAAAACTACCGGCCGTCTGGTTGAATGTCTTTTTGAAACGGCCACACACCCAAAGCGCACGCGTCGCCGTCTCATGTCTACTGCTGTTTTACCTATTCTTTATTGTTGTTTCAGGCCATCTCGCGGTTGTGCGACGACATATACAAGGACTTGAGGAAACAAGCGAAGAAGCGGTCGGTGAGCGCGGACAACCTGGCAGTGGTGCGGTGGTGCCCGGCCATCATTTCCTAACACTGGCCGCCTGCAGCACGCAGACACACCTGTCAGACATACTGCACTGTGTTTCTGCCTGGTGGGCAGGCAAACCAGGTGGGCAGCAGACCCGTGGATCAGTACACACACAGACACAAACACACACACACACACACACACACACACACACGCACACACACAATCTAGCACTTTCACAAGTGTGATTGCACCCTCTGGTTGTTGTACATAAAAGACGTTCCACTGGCTGCCTGCACTGAACCAAAAAGAGCTGAGCTGAACCAAACTGAAGTGCTTGTGTGAAAGTTATTGCACTGCAGCTGTCCAATAACAGCTGGACTGCAGAAGAAGAGGCCAATCAGAAACCCAGCAGGCAATATATATTTATGAGAGAGTTGCGATGTGAAGTTGAGACAAGCGCTCCTTTCCTCTCAGGCTCCTCTTGCCCGTGCGGGTAGATGAGGGAGGTCGTGTACATTCCTTTTTGTTTTAAACTTCAGGTTCAGTCATTCTCTGATCGGAAGCATGAGGTGATTTTTATTTTTTCCTTTTGAAAGGCACATTTGGACATTTTGTCAGGTGTTCATCTGTTCTTATTGCATTCCCATCTGTGAGGAACCTCCGCGAGTACACAAAAGGAAAGGCATGTACTCTCCTCTGTTACCTTCAGTGTGCACCTGACACATTCAGGACAGTGCCGCATGTCATCGTATTCACCTCCATCGTGGCTGTTTTGTTGAAGCGCCCACTCAAAAGACTCACATTGTCAGGAGCGCTGTGACCGGACCAGGAAATCCAACTCGCACAACCACGGCCACATTCAGATACAGTGCTTCACTACAAGCAATAATCATGCATCGCCCGGTTGGTGTGACAAGATACGAAGAAGCACGCAGACTCTGGAGGAGACTGAGCAGAGGGCAGCAGACTAGAGACGTCCCGCAGAGCGGTTGTTGTACTTAATTCACTGCCATCGTCCTGACCTGTGGTGCCTGTAATAAGCTAGTTTAACAATTCCCGCCTTTCCACTGGATGAAAGAAACAAATAACTGAAGTATTTCCTCTGTAAAATGTCGTATGGTTCTTCCGCCTTACAAAGAAACAGCACAGCAAAGTGGACTATTTAAATTTAGGAGCCGCTGAACGCATGATTCTTTTCAGGGTTGTTTTGTGTTCTGGAGAAAAAGCATTAGGTGACAATTGAAACGCACTGCTTACAAAACAACAAATTGTAAACATTTTGCTCTCTATACAGTGTAAATACAGCGCCGGTGTGCAAAATCTGTAGACTAAAGAAGATCGTACTGTAAAAAGAGAACGGAATGATGGTGAAAGACTTGGATCAGTTTATAGTGTCCTCCACAGGGATGGTCAATATGTTGGGTGTTCCTATGTAAAATCAAGTAAAGTATTATGATTCAAACGGGAGACACCACTTAGGATCTTCTGGCCTGTTTTCTTGTTACAATGTTTTTTTCCACACAGCAGAAAGTTTTTTTTATGTATTACATGTTGTATATGGTAACTTAATAATACAAGACAATTCAGGCTTATTGTATTACTTGTTGTCATTTTTTTCATCCCCTCTCTGCGGAGGCATTGCCAGATGCACATGCTGCTCAGCGATCATTATGGAGCCCCATAAAAAAGAAATGTCATTGGCCACCTCAAAAATTCAGTATAACTGAATACATCAATAAATATAATTAAACATTTTCAATGGAGTCTAAAAAGAGCTATAAAGTTGTAGTTGTTCTTCAGTTTGTTTAAAAAAAAAAGCAAAAAGCTTTTAATGTTTTTTCCTCTCAATCTGTGATGCATGTTTCTTTTTCTCTTCTCTATCTGTACTGTTCTGTACTGTAGCTCATTTCAGTTCTTCTCTTGGCACCCGTTAAATCATTTATTTAGTCCCTGTAGTAACATTTTCCGTACGTCATTTTCAATTTTACTAACGCCTCTTAGAAAAGGAGGTCAAAGGAGAAAATGAGAAAGCGTCAATAGGTGGGAACTAATAGTCACTAATCTCTCACACACACACACACACACACACACACACACACACACACACACACACACACACACATGGATATCCAAGCTTGCATTGTGATGAAAGAGGTCTATTTAAACTTGAAAAATAATATGGGGGAAAAGAACAGGGAAACATACATATAAAAATGAAAAACAAACTGCAGTAAATTTAAAAAGGTTTTGTCAGACAGTGTGAATAAGATAAATATTTACGTTATCTCTAAGAGATAATAGTATAGTAATTTTTTTATGAACTCATTTTAAGGTAAGCGGACATTTCTAAAGTTTATTTATTTTTATTTAAGTAACAAAATGATTTGTGTATTCAGTTTTAACTGGCTTTCCTTATAACTTATTTTTAACACGGGGTCCACAGTTTCTTCCCTTTGCTGATTTGCTCCTGATTCTTGATCCTAATTTTGGCAATGAGAAATAGTAGAGAAATGTACAGGGATGCAGTAGAACCTATAAAAACCTATAAAAAAGTTAAGTCCTTGCTCCTGAATGACTCAATAGAAGTGTCAAGTACTGCTTGTATTTATATACACTGTAAAACAGTGGTTGTTTGCCTTAACACACATTTTGCTTCACTAAATCTTTGCGTAGATAATTCTCTTTAAAATATCATGACGTGACATTTCCAGATGTTTTTCACGACAAAAGTTCAGATTAAGGTCCAAATCGAAATGTGACGTCAGCTTATACCTACCTAGCTTGTCAGTGAGAGGTCCGGGCCGGAGCAGCAGGTGTGAGAAGAGACGGAACCGACCCAGAGTGGTCGAGAAATGAAGGACGGTCCTGTTGGGTGTGTTGCTCTGACCGAGCCCACACTTTGCACATTTAAAAACGTAGACAGAGAACTGCTGTTTCGCATGGTTGATGATTTGGATGAGAGGGAAAATAAAGTGCAAAAATGAATCTGTAGAAAAGTACCTTTGCTGGAGTGGCTGAGTTCACCCTGTGAAGATTGAAAATCCTATTTATTGTGTGTGTGTGTGTGTGTGTGTGTGTGCGTTATCTAAACCCAGAGGTGAGTAAGTGTTGACGCCAAGTGGTCCACAGAGGTGAGTGGTGACATCATAGACCAGGGGCCTGTGGCGTCCTGTCGGCTGGCTACTAAGTGTGTGTCACAGCCTCGTGCACTGAACTCTACCTCCGCACAGCGCGTGACCTTTCCTCTTCTTTTTGGCAGCAATTTCTGTCTTTTCACATTTTCAGCCTTGATCATGAAGGCGTCCTCTGCTGTGGCTGTGACTTTTTTATTTTATTTTTATTGATATTGATATTTTAAACATGTGCTGCACTCTGTTCTGGTTGTTATTGTAAGTGTGCCCTTCTTTTCGGGGAGTCAGCCATTCAGTTTCTTTTGCAGATCTTACTCTGGTTTTGTTCTTTTTTTTTCCTGTATGTTTTCAACTATGGTTTAAAGAAACTCCCAATTCTTGTACTCTGGAGGAATGTTTAGAAAAACATTTGCAAGAATTAAAAAAAAAACAAGCAAATGTCTCTTTGTTTGATCCAAAGAACCAATTCACCCAATGCACAAGCTCCCCCTGGGATCTAAAACCAGGGGTTCCATGCTGCTACCACAAGGTTTCAATTTGTACTATTGTACCAGTGAGGACTCAGCAGGGCTTCTCCTGTCAGAAAGAACCAATCGAATGGCAGAGAGAAAGCAGTAATGCAGAGATTAATCTTCCATATCGTCACTGAAGGACACATTTATTTCTTCTTGTTAGTCTCATTTTGCACTTCAATTGCCTAGAAAGTAATTTCAACAAAGAACTGCTGTAAACTTAAGTGAAGGATCCACATCATACATGGACATTTGAAATACTGTAGTGTACACAGACACACAAACACCTAACAATCCATCTTACTCCTTAGAGCTAGTGGAAACTCCTATGATGCTCTACATTGTCATCAGACCTATTGGTCTTGTAAAACTATTGTTTAGTGCGGTTTAAAGCTGAAAAAAACATGTTTGATCCCTTAAAGGAGCAGTGCGTAGGATTTAGTGTCATCTAGTGGTGAGGTTTCAGATTACACAATGAAAAATAGCAATGATGATTATATTCCTTTAAGTTCCTTTTAGACATTACAGTGTTAAATGGGAGCCGAAGGAAAGAGGAAAAATAACCATCACACGCATCTCAAGTCAAAAAGGGCTTCTGTGTTTCCTTTGGTTGATGCATTTTTCTCCTGGTGTTTCTGTCTAATTCAAGTAATTCAGTTTCTCAATCTGCATCATAATGTTGAATCAAATCACCCTCATCGTGTGATGTGCGCACTCATCGTTTGAGGCACAACGCATTGCTAATTGGTGAAATAGGGAACAGCTGCGGGATCAGGTGGAGGAGCCGGTAATGACTGAAGTTGGAAATCGCCCAAGTAGTAGCAGCTGGACCGCCGGGGAATGGCAGCGTCTGATATGACAGGGAGCATTAGTATGCAAAGAAGTGGGGGTAAATGTTGAAATTCTTGTATTGCCAACATGACTTCAAATGAAGCCATGAAGTTGTTGCCTTGCTTTTTTTATGCTGAATTGAATCATTTTTCATAGTGTAACACATCTAATATACCTTAAAGCATATCACAACAGGGTTTCATGTTATTTTAACAATTGACTAAGGACAAATATCATGCCATATTTAGCATACTGCAATAACAAACGTGTCCATAAAGAGCTGATTTCTCAACACTGAATTTTTATGTTTCTACAGGTCATCAGTGAAATTAAAAACAGGTGTACCTGGTTAACCTCTAAGCAGTTACTGGGCGCTGCTAAGTAGTTGAGACAAACAAGTTGGATTTAACGGCAACGTATTACATTTCATCTGATTCTATATGAGTGTGCACCGCGAAAGACAACCTAACATGTGCTTTGACATGTGGTACGTTCCAGTTTAAATAAGGCTGGGGGGGCTGTCCGTCGAGCGGTTTCTGTGACGGACATGTTGGGATTCTACTTCGATTCTTTCTGGGTTTTTGTCTTTTTTTACATGTTTTTGACAACAGAACATCATTGTCTTAGACCACAAGCGCTTAACGTCCCTCTGAAACTTTCCCAACAGCTCTTCATGTCCATGGATAGATGCATTGCAGGTGCAAGTGATTCTTCTTTGCATTAAGCCAAAACTTAAATAAAATGTACTTTTTACTCTTCAAAAGAATCCATGATATATTCCGATTTGCATTGCGAGCCAGTGTGTAGGTGTTAATGACCATTGATCTGCAATGATTATGAGCCACGCCAACTGTCCATGTGTCCCACCAGAGACCGTGTCCTTGAACGACGGTGGTGGTTGTGTAATAAGGAATTCATGCCCTTTGTAAAATCATTTCATGAAAGAGATCTATACCACAGTGATCCAGAGTCCATTTGTTGAATCCTTTTTTAAATGTAGCATAAATCTAATTTAAATAAACTGAAATCAATCTGGTTCCTTGATCATAGCTGATCTCTTGTTCTACTTCAGATTAATAATTAAACACATTTTAATTGAATTCCCATATTAAACAACCATTCAGCGGGGGCTTATCCAAATTATAAATTGGCACAAGCTGTGGGGAAAATATAGTTTACATCCCATTAACATTTCATGAGCGCTAATCCAATCTATGGTTTTGCATATCTACATGCCGCATTGACTCATCCCTGGGAGATGCAGCAGTAACAGCTTGTATTCTTATTACGGAGCAGTCAGTTTAAACATATTTGCCACTGTGCTTGAGCACTTGATACAGCAGCACAGAGTGAGTAAGCCCGGAGGCCCTTTTCTCTCCTGTAAGGACGGCCCGCGCCACCAAAATATCCCTGCAATGCCGGGACGGCGACGTGCCTTTGGAAGTGTGTTAAGAATAGACTCACAATAGGGCTTGCTTCTGTTGTCTGAGGACAGAAAGTTGTCTGCAGGGCACAGAGGAAGAGGTGATACGGAGTATTTAAATGGGTCTTTCGGAGACCTGGAGTACATGAATGGATCACGCTGGATTTTCCCACCTGGAACCTGGCACATACTCCTAGGAAAAAGAGAGAGTGAGAGGAAGTCAGAGTGTTGGGGGGGACTTTTTGGATCTTATTGTGCTACTGGAAGCCAAGGTGCCCCTTGGCGGGAAGGGTAGGGGGAAAGTGTCTAGGCAGCGAGAAGGTACAGGGTTTTACTCCGTGGCCTGAAACTGGAAGATCCTGCAGCGCCTTAAGCATTGCAAGCATGACGGGAATGAGTGGCTCTGAGGTCATCTTCATCTCTGTCAATCACAACATCACTTTGATGGGTGAGTGGCGTTCACTGACACATTAACAGCTTTCTGTGTTATGTTTGTGCAGTGAGAAATGTCGGCTATTCTAGAGATCTATAAATCTCAAGGTGTAATCAGGCAATTATCAAATAAGCCCTTTTTTATCAACATGCTTATTTTTCAGGCAAGGTTTGGCTCGTCGTGATGATCTTCCTCCGTATCCTGATCCTCCTCCTGGCTGGTTATCCTCTCTACCAGGACGAGCAGGAGCGATTCGTGTGTAACACCATTCAGCCCGGCTGTGCCAACGTGTGCTATGATCTGTTTTCTCCCATCTCACTCTTCCGCTTCTGGCTGGTGCAGCTCGTCACCTTGTGTCTCCCCTACTTCATCTTCATTATCTACGTGGTCCACAAGGTCTCGAAGGGCCTCACAGTGGACCCGTACCCCTCGGGCCGCACCAAAGCCCCACCTTTGCTCGAGAACCACCAGGAGCCGTTCACCAAGACATCTGTAAACAAGACGGCTGAGCACAGGGGGGCTCGGTGCTTCACGGGAGCCTACATCCTCCATCTGTTGTTCAGAACGTTGCTGGAGGCAGGGTTTGGGGCAGCTCACTACTATCTGTTTGGTTTCCACATCCCGAGGAGGTTCCTGTGCCAGCATCCGCCGTGCACCACCCAGGTGGACTGCTACATCTCTAGGCCCACTGAAAAGACCGTGATGCTCAACTTCATGCTCGGCGCGGCTGCTTTGTCCCTTTTCCTCAACGTGCTGGATTTCTTCTGTGCCATCAAGCGGTCGGTGAAACAGAAAAGCAAGAGCAGGATGACGGTAGTGGAGAAGATATATGAGGAAGAGCAATGTTTCCTTTCGGCTAAGCAGGAGAAAGAAGGGGCTGGTCTCCCGGGGAGCTTCCGGAAAAGGCGAGGCAGCAAGGGCTCTAGTGCAGGGCTTGCTTTAGGTCAGGAAACACCCGGCATGGAGCGCTCTTCTCTTCCACACTCTCCAGGACATCCTGGCTGCAACACCAACGGAAACAACGGCTACTCTGTTTCCCAGGAGGAAGCTCTGGAAAGGAATGGCAGCGAGGTGGCTCTTTGCCCCCCAGAGGCGATGAGGACACCTAGATCAATCCGTGTTAGCAAACGGAGTCGACACAAACCCCCACCTCCGCCCAGACGGGACCTCGGCGCGCCCCCCAGGGAGCCAGCGGTTCCCTTCGGAGACGTTTCCACAGCAATTTGTACCAGACGTGTGGGTCAGTACACGCTGGTTGAACTGGGTAGCGGCGCAGAGCCACAGACCAATGATGAAGAGATGAGATCTGAGTGGGTGTGAGAGTTGGATTGCTTTATTTTCAGGTTATTTTGGAGCACAAGGATGGGACAAATAGTTGTGGAAGACATGTGACCAACCGACACAGATAACCTCAGGCATTGCTGAATCCTCAGGCATGACAGTGGCAGCAACTGATAGATCATACATCCAGCTCTACTTCCATTTCAGAATGCATACTGCACTGCCACTTGAGGAGAATACACTATATAATGACAATGCATTCACAAGACACCTTAGACCCAAGAGGCAGAATTGTGTTTGATGTGATTTCATCACGCCATCGGATCACGTTGCCTTTTAAGAGGCTGAGAAGTGGAGTGATGAAACCGACAAGAATTCAAGTCCAGTGCTTCGGTGTCACTGAACAAATCTCAACCTTGGGGAAATCTAAAACAGAGCACCCCACCTGTTTTCCCCCGTTATTGGCTTTTAATCCCACCTTCCCAGACACACTGCCCATTAACATAGACAGGCCTTGACCTGTCCCAACACCATCCCCCACTATATATGATACCACAAACTCTTTTGAGTTTGGTCACTGGGGTCAAAGAACAAGGTTAGCCTTAAGGTCCTGTTGTTGGATGTTTGGGTGACCTTTTTAGAATAAGTAGGTCAGGCCCAAATGAAAAAAACATAATCTGTCTGTGGTGTTATCAGACTCATGGAAAGGAATAGGACTCGTTTGTCAGAAGTCAAGGACACTATGAAGGACCCTAAAGGCGGTATAGGCTCACAAAGCAATTATGCTCCCCCATGGGGTTCTGTATTTATGGAGACGGCTTGTCACTCTATTTCAGGGCCTTGCTGAGCTTAGGAGGAATACAAGCCTTAACACACACTGTCACTAGAAATAGAGCACAGCGGAGCTCTGCAAAGGAGCAGCGATGCCAGATGCCCTTCAAGATATGTGCTACCTGGGGTTTTAATTTCACCTTGATCGGATCAAAACTCAGATCCAACACTCCCACCGTGACACATGTCAATCATCGGCCGCCTAGTGTATAAAGTCATTGCTGCAAGATTTAAATGACTTTTTCCTTTTCTGAAATGTTTAACCAACCTGTCTGAGATTGGATTCTTGAAATCTCTTGACTACCCAACACAGGTGATTGTGAGAATACTCCCACAGAAAATCTTCAGTCACACCTGCTGCTCTATAGCTGGAGGGGGGAGGCCTTTGTGTAAACGGATAGTCTTTGATCACTCTCCTCTTGTGGTGTCTTTGAAACATGACAACAAAAGCTCCCCAGCCTCATGTCTCACCTATCCACTGAGGGCCGCAGCCTCACCATCATCAGGAGGACCATGGGGGGGCACAGCAGGTCTGATGGTGCCGCACCTCCTCCATACACCCATCAGTGCCTAACAGTCATATTCCAAAAACTATTCATAGTTTTTTTTCCAATACAATATGAGTTGTATTGATACTGTTTGATACGCTACTTTATGTAACTCTTGTTCCTTAACAAAGGAAAAATACTTTGATAGTTTGGTCTCATGTTTTGTAATGTTTTATTGACTTTTATTAATGTAATATTGTTTAAATTATCAATGCACTTGGTTGTAAATGCTCTAGTTTGATCACTCCACCAATAGTGTAGCTTGAGATCATGCATCCATTCGCTGACACAAAAAGCCATTTATTAAATGAAACATTTTACAAGATAGATATTCACGTGTTAATTGCATCTTCATGAAACATTTTGGTTGTGACAATATCTGTCATAAATCGGGTACATTTTAAGAAAAATATGTTTTTCCTGTGCTGTAGTTTTTCTTAACATTATTAAAACAATAAATAAGTAAAAGCGTCACTGTTAAGCAGCTTCCCATATTCTTGAAAAGACGTGGTAATTTCAGGCCATGGAGATCGATATTAAGTTGTCAGGTTTCCAATCTGGAGGCATACCGGTCAGACTGGTCGATTTACCTTGGGTTTAACCCCCCCCCCCACACCACCTGCATCCTGTCTCGTGTTCGCACTATACCCTTTTTATTATGAAATCTTATTATCCTAAGTTATTTTTTTTTTAGCACTAAGGCCATGACCCCTTCCACTTACCCAACCCCCTAATGCCCCTTTAGTTTGGAGCCTTTTTTGTAGTGGTCAGTAAGCCCTTATTAGTGAAAGTGCACATTCCCTTCTTTTTCAGGCAGTGTCCAGGTATCTGCATATAACAATGGAATGCAGAGAAAATAGCATACCTTATGTCCCAGGTGTGTCCCACTCTCCTGATTATGCAGCACAACAGAAAACAGAACAGCAGCAAAGAGACTCGCCTGTCAGGACTTGCTCTGTTATGTCTTTACTGTGTAGAACAGGCTGCTCGCTGTTGTAGATTGGACCTGCCTTGGAAATGAAGCAGAGCTGAGATTTGAGCAGCACGTATCCAGATCTTTAAATGAGTGTTCCACTGTGTTTGTTTTGTCTTCTACCAACTATGGACCTGCTTTTTTTCATTTTGTGTCTCAAGTGTCAGAAACCAGAGAACTTTCCTCCATGGCCTCCCCCATTACCGATACTGGGTAACCTGTTGAACCTTGGCCCGGTTAACCCCATCAGGGACATGAGTGAGAAAAAACACTCACGGGACTTGTACTTTCAATTGTTATGCTACTGACTATCAATTGCACACATTCCTACCTAGAAGTATTTGTTCTATTGAATGCATGAGTGAACAGAGATGTGAGTGCTTATGTGATTGCAAGCAAAAGCTGGCAGAAAACCAATTGGCTGACCGCTTTTAAATGAATTTTCTGAACAAAACTCCATTCATCCTGATCCAGACTACACCCCCATGGGCTCACCCTGCCGCATGAGGTCTCCCACTCAGCGACAAACAGTAGGGGCCAGGAGCTGCCAATGATGAGACGCGTGCTTATTTTCATCTTTACGCTGTCGCCCAACGACTTATATCTGATCCAGTCCGTGTTGTTGGAGAAAAGGTCAATGTCTAGTTAATGGCTCCACCAAGTGGACATAACTGGGCATTGCGTTGTATCAAGTATTATTATTTTTGAAGATGCGTACAGACCAGGCTGTGAAGTTTGGTATTAGTCATCACACTGTTCCATTATTCAATGGAATAATGGCCTCTAACACCATAATGCATTTGACCCTCCACTTAACACACTGCACACTGCTGCAGAGTTTGTGCGTAGAGCAGCATCGCCTTTTTATTTCTATAAACAGCAACATTCCCCCGACCCTCTAATGCCACCGAGCAGAGTGAATCGGGCAAAGGCTTCTGCCCTTTCGAAAGAAAGAAGTTTTCTTTTGTGTGCATGTCAGTCAGTCACTGAAGGACTGAGAGAGCACAGTGTTCTGCCGCTGTGTGTGTGTGTGTGTGTGTGTGTGTGTGTGTGTGTGTGTGTGTGTGTGTGTGTGTGTGTGTGTGTGTGTGTGTGTGTGTGTGTGTGTGTGTGTGTGTGTGGAGGTGGGGGGTCCTTGAGTTGGAAGGAGCAGCAGGGGTGCAGTGTAAGGACTACTAAACCACAGGGGCATTGTTGCTGAGCCAACGGGGAGCCGGCCACTTCTGCTGATATTTCTGTGCGACTCGGTCATTGCGCTTAAGTTGATTGATTGGTTAGAAAAAAAAAGGTTTTAACCTGACTGCCAGAGTCCCGATGACATCAGAGTCCCTCAGAAACTGTAACCAGGGGACCTGAACCCCTTTTTGTTTTCCAACATCTGCTGCATGGAGTGGCCAGCTGGGGATAAAAGAGTTCAGGAGCTCCAACACAAATGGAAATGGGTCGCAGAAGCCCGAGGTCACTGCTCATCCATGGAAGAATGCACACACGGAAACGTGTTCATCTTCCACTGATGTAATCTGGAAAGTAACGAGGAATGACACATTACTGAATGCTAAAATAATCACAGGAGGGGCTTTATACAGTGATGCTGTTAATGTTCACCGCTACAAAACTGTAATTGCTTTTGTAACTTATCCTACAACCCAAATTAGAAACCAATTCTTATATTATTGTCTGTCGCAATCTTTGATAAAAAAGCGACTAATGAAGTTGACAAGATGTTCACATCTGCAGCGGCTCCTCTTGTTCATTTAGAGATTAAACTCTAAAAAACTTCTTCCAGATGGCATGGTCCTTGCCTGTCATGCTCTATAGTCAACCACGTCAGAGCTTTCCTCACGGCCCCACAAATGAGGCCGCTCGTAAGGATTTATTTGTTTGTTTGAGGACTTTCTCTGGTACTTTGCAGTGAATTGAGTCGGTGACCCCTGTGGAGGGAAAGGGCCCGTTACCTTATAACTGCAACGTGTGCATGCAGCGGTCGAGCCAGGACGCAGCGTTAGGAGGCTGGACGGTTGGTTTGTGGAGCCTGGTGATCGGGGGAGCCGGGTGATTTGTGTCAGTTTAAACGCCTAATAAAGGGCGGTCCTAAACTTTAACTTCGAAGACGTTAATAGAAACGTAACAATCAGGTTCAAGCGTGATTCTTCAGGTCTCACTGCAGCGAGTCCTGAGTTTTTTTCCAAAACTCGCCAAATATGCCACTTTCTTTAATATGCCAATAAACAGAAGTAGCAAGCGAGAATGCTTTTTAAAATGATTTCTGCTTTGAAATGAATGAAATTATAAATCTACAAAATAAATGTTGATTATTATTGAAAATGGACTTATCAATTAATCTTTTTATATCGGAAAAATCTCATACTTGAGGGGATTTAGATTAGATTTAATGGGCCGGTTCACACATTAGAAATGTTTCCTTTCACCGCTCATCCGTTGTCACCTTTTGTACTGAGTCACACTAACCTGAATCCATCACGTCATGAGCTCTTCCTTGTTGTATCTGAGTGCATCAGTGTGTACATATGTGTACGTGTGCTAAACCAGGACGCACGTGGCGGTGTGCAGCCCTTCTACCACAAGGTGGGGCTGCACGTGTCTCCGCTGAGCTGGACACACTCGCTGAGGTCTTTTAAGGTAAACACCAGAAAAACAGAAAACAAGATGCATCCAGGAAAGCTGCGGTGACTATGTGGAGGATCTATAACCACGCGGTAATTTAGAGCATAAAGTTCGTTATAAGTCTCTACCAAACAATTGCAATATTTTGAAATGGAGATGTACTTCCCAACTTAATCTGAACCAAGTTTACACTCAGCACTCCCGATGAGCCGCGCGGAAGCAAAATGCTCAAGAAGCCGCTCTTTTTGATCGTTGGAAAAGTTTGGTTACGACTTCCATCTTTACTGCCTGGTGTCTTTTTGCTGACTGCGCTGATACAACATTTATACGGCTGATTTACACTCCCAACACACTACACTGAAAAGAAGCTCTTACGTTTTTTAGGGCGGGGGGGGGGTCCACGACTACAGTATAACGCAGGAACAAAGCAGTCACTACAAAGCCCACTGTCACCATTGACCTGCAAATCAAAGGCATTTCTTCGCTGGGTTACAGTGTATCATCTTATGCCAGCGCATTGGGTTAATTGGGACCAAGCCAGATACATTTGTAGCAACAAAAAAAATACCTCGATTAGGGGGCCCTAAGATGTGAGATCATGTGAACAGACCACCTGTGGGGCTTTCATTGCTATTTCAATATCATTCATGTCAAGGCCCCTGCACTCGCTGACACAGCTTGAGTCGAGGGAGAAGATGTTTCAATTCAGGCCCTGTGAAAAAAAGAGAAGAAGAAGAAGAAAACACAAGACGCAGGGGCTCTGGCAGGTTTCAGCTCTGACAAATCCAGAAAGGCGAAGGGGGTCCTGAAATGCTCTTTGAATTGTAGGACGTCCATCAAAGCATCCAAATGGGGACGTTTAGAGGGAACCTTGGCACATCATACAGACACTTCTAATACACACCACCTTTTATTCTCCGCTGTTAAAAAAGAAAGATCAAAGTTTCTGCAGATGAAAAGGGTCCCTTCCCTACATTTATACCCCCTATTCACCCACTCCCTCTTTTGCTAAATTAAGAAAAAGCGGGCTTCGGCAGGCATTTGAAGGGGACTTCAACAATTATGGAGATGCTCCAACTCAACCCCTGCCTCTAATTACCGGTCTCTGATGGTTAAAACAGGGGGTGGGAGAGGGGGGACTCTCAAAGAGCCGCCACCGTCAACACGGTGACCACATCACAAAAAGAAACAGCCAGGACAACCAACTGCGTCAAAAACAAAAACTGCAAATGTCCACAGAAAGTTGAGATTTGTCAAAAAACTGTTTTATTGTCAAAATAAAGCTCATATTTGCTTTTCTCACAAAAAGAGACATCTACACTTTGTACAAATTTACAATAGCTTATAAAGTTTTCTTTTATCCACAAATGTACACCTTTTTACTTTCTTACAGAACTTTTATATAAATACATTTTTTGAAAATGAGAAAAATGAACTACCCGTAAAAAAAAACAGAAAAACACATGGGCACTATTAAGGCTTAATTTAAACCATCTTTGATGTGATTTGATGATACAATGTTATTTGGCACTGTGTAGATAAAAAATGGCATTGAGGACCAAAAATTCTTTTTTGTGAGAGGCAGGTTATAGGTGCAAACTTGTCTTTCTCCCTACAGCGAATAATACCAGCGGTTTGCGTAAAATCCTTGGCGTGTACCACCGCCCCAAACCAACCGAGGGGAATGAAACCCTGTGTGAGGTCACATTGTTTCAGCCACCTGTCCTCACTGCGGCATGTATGCATGTTCAGATAGAGGGGGGGTCACCTCGCCAGTGGTTCATTACGATGCAAATTGCTTAAGACAGGGAGTGATGGGTTATCTCCCAAACAATTAGCAGTCCTCATAAGCTGACCCCCCCTCCCTCTCCCTCCCCATTCAAACCTGGGACAATGGCATCTGCTTGGGGCAAGAAACGGAGCTGGCCGTGCCCGACCTCCACGTCAGCCCGGTGCTCACGTCGC